AGAGGGGTCGGGCGGGAGGTCTGGGGGGACAGAGTCCGCTGGAGCCAGGGGCAGCGCGCTGTCCGAGCAGAGGGCAGTGGGCCAGGAAGAAGGGGGGCTGTGGGAGTGGTGACCAGCCAGCAGGCCCTGCCTGGACCCTCCAGGGGAGGTGGGGCCGCAGGTGGGTGGGTGGGGGGGAGGAGAGGTGAGCTGGGGGCCCGAGGGGTGCTTGTGCAGGGGTGCTGGGAGCAGAGGGGTGCTCCGGGAGGGGGCTGCGGGAGGCTGAGTCCGTGCAGGGGTGATGGCAGGAAAGCGGCTGCAGTTGGCATTTCTCAGGGGCGCACCAGACACCTCTACACCAGAACCCCACCCCAGGCCCATGAAACTGGGGTCCGGGGGCTAGAGCAGGGGAGGCAGCTCGGGTTAGGAGCTGCTGTGACGGAGCGCCCTCTCGGGGTGGTGCTGGGCCAGCGCGGTGGCAGCACCCAGATACTCCTCGCGCATCGCATCCGGGTTCTCAGGTCCAGCCCGGCCCTGCGCCATCAGAATGCTGGGCCGGGGCCTTCCGGGGGTTCCAGGGCGCGCGCACAGCGTGAGACGTGTTTCTGGGGACACCCGGCAGAAGTCAGGGACTGCAGGGAGGAGGAAGAGCCCCGGGAAGCGGGCGGGCAGGGCGCCAGGGAAGGCAGGCCCCACTGCCCTTCCCTGACGGGCCCTGACCGCACTGACCGGTCCCGCCCTGCAGAGGCTGCTGCAGGAGATCCAGGGCTGGGAGCAGGAGAGGGCAACGGCCTCGCGCCTCGCCCGGGACCTGCAGGCGGCGCTCCAGGTCAGCAGCTTGACTTCCACTGCCCTCTGCCTGCCCGCCCTTTGTCAGTGTCCGCCCCCCGCCCACCGCTGACCACCACCTGTGTCCTCTCCCCGCTCAGGACTACGAGCTCCAGGCCGACACCTACCGCTGCTCCCTGGAGCCCACCCAGGCAGGGCCGGCCCCCAAGAGACCGCGAGGGGCTCCCCTGCAGGACAGCATCCAGGCCCAGGTAAGACAGGACCAGCGGGGCCCGGGGGGCCCTCACACCTCGTGGGGCCTGACCCGCCGCTCCCTCCCTGTGGCCCCCAGGAGAGCAGCCTGGCGAAGGCCTTCACGGAGGCCGCGGCTGCTCAGAAGCAGCACCTGTGCCAGCTGGAGTTTGCCAGGAAGGTGCTGGAGAAGGTAGGAGACGGAGCCCTCCGCTCCCCCGCGAGCGGCCGGCCGGTGAGACCCGCGGCGCGGCCAGCTGCTCGCCTGGCGCTGCCGGCCGGCCGGCCGCCTCCTCCCCAGCCCCTCCCAGCAGCGCACAGGCCGTGCCTGTCTCAGAGTCAGGCCCTGGGTCTCCTCCAGCGGGTCCCTTTGCCGCTGTGCCTAGAGACGGGGCTTCCCACAGCCTGCAGCCTCGGGCCCTTCACTGTGGGCTAGAGGCCGGGGACGCCATCCCCGACACCAGAGTCAGCAGCTCCCCACGCTCGGGGCGCCCGGCAGCGGACGTGCCTGCATTCTCCACATGCCCAGAGAAGCAGGCGCCCGTTTCTGGGAATCTGGATGGCAGGGGAAGGGGAAGGCTCGAGGGGGGAGGCCTGTCCTGTCGGTGCCCCCAGGGTCATCCGCTCGCGACCTTGCATCCGACGTGGCGCTCCGACGTGGCCTCTCCAAACCCTACTCCCAGGCACCTACCCCCTGCTCTGCCGCCTGGGGCCTACTGGGGAGCTGGGGGGGGCAGCGAGGGGTTCCGATCTAGGCGTACTCAGCCCTCCCCCCTCACTGGCACGCCCTCCCTTCCCCTCCCCTGCAGAGGGAACTCAGCGAGGACATCCAGGGGGCCCAGGGCGCACAGCAGGGGTCTGAGGGCCACTCGGGGCGGCAGCCGGAGGCCCTGCGCGCCCAGCTGGAGGAGGAGCGGAGGCGGGTGGCCCAGGTGCAGCAGGAGCTGGAGACGCAGAGGCGCCGGCTGCTGCAGCTGAGGACCCAGCGGCCCTTGGAGCGGCTGGAGGAGACGGAGGTGGTGGAGCTGTACCGGGACCCCCAGCTGGAGAGCGGCCTGGGCCGGCTGCGGGCCCAGCTGGAGGGCGAGGGCAAGAAGCGCTCGGGCCTGCAGGCTGACCTGGAGGCGGTGGCCCAGAAGGTGGTGGAGCTGGAGAGCCAGAGGAAGGCCGTGCAGCCTCACCTGCTCACCAAGGAGGTCACCCAAATCGAGCGGGACGCCGGCCTGGACAGCCAGGCGGCTCAGCTCGGCAGCGAGATCCAGCAGCTCCGGGAGCAGGACAGGGCCGCCGCGGCCCGGCTGGAGGGGCTCAAGAAGGAGCTGCTGGCCCTCGAGCAGAAGGAGGCCCCCGTGAAGGAGACCGTGGTGGTGAAGGAGGTGGTCAAGGTGGAGAAGGACCTGGAGATGGTCAGGGCAGCCCAGGCGCTGAGGCTGCAGCTGGAGGCGGACACGGCGCGGAGGAAGGCGGCGGAGGAGGCCGTGGCCAAGCTGCGGGCCCGCATGGAGGCGCTGGAGCGCGCCATCAGCGCCGTGGAGCCCAAGGTGGTCGTGAAGGAGGTGAAGCAGGTGGAGCAGGACCCGGGCCTGCTCCGGGAGGCGTCCAGGTTGCGGAAGCAGCTGGAGGAGGCGAGGGCCGAGAACGAGACGCTGGCCCGGGAGCTGCGGGCCCTGCACAGCGAGCACAGCGCGGCGGAGAAGCAGAAGCCCCGCGTGCAGGTGCAGGAGCGCGTGCACGAGCTCTTCCGGCTGGACCCCGCGACGGAGCGGGAGATCGCCCGGCTGCGGGCCGCGCTGCAGGAGGCCGCCAGCCGGCGGGGCGGCGTGGAGAAGGAGGTGGAGCGGCTGCGGGCCGAGCTGGCCGTCCTGCGGGCCCAGCAGCCCGCGGTGGAGTACAAGGAGGTGACGCAGGAGGTGGTGAGGCACGAGAGGAGCCCGCAGGTGCTGCGGGAGATCGACCGGCTGAAGGCCCGGCTCAACGAGCTGGTCAACGGCAGCGGGCGGGCGCAGGAGCAGCTCATCCGGCTGCAGGGCGAGCGCGATGCGTGGCGGCGGGAGCGGGCCAAGGTGGAGACCAAGACGGTCACCAAGGAGGTGGTGCGGCACGAGAAGGACCCGGTGCTGGAGAGGGAGGCCGAGCGGCTGCGCCAGGAGCTGCAGGAGGCTGCCCAGAAGCGGCGGGCGGCCGAGGACCTGGCCTACGAGCTGCAGAACAAGTTCCTGCTGCTGGAGCGGAGGCGGCCCGAGGAGAAGGTGGTGGTGCAGGAGGTGGTGGTCACCCAGAAGGACCCGAAGCTCCGCGAGGAGCACAGCCGGCTGGGCCGGAGCCTGGACGAGGAGCTGGGCCGGCGGCGGCAGCTGGAGCGGGAGGTGCAGCAGCTGCGGGCCGCCGTGGAGGAGCAGGAGGGCCGGCTCAGCTTCCGGGAGGACCGCAGCAAGAAGCTGGCCGCGGAGCGGGAGCGGCGCCGGCTGACCCTGCGGATCCAGGAGCTGGAGCGGCGGCCCCCGGCGGTGCAGGAGAAGATCATCATGGAGGAGGTGGTCAAGCTGGAGAAGGACCCAGAGCTGGAGCAGGCCGCGGGCGCCCTGCGGCGGGACCTGGACCAGCAGCAGGCCCGGGTGGCCGAGCTGCACCGCGAGCGCCAGAGCCTGCAGCTGCGGCTCGACCTCCTCCAGAAGACCAAGTCGCAGGAGAAGACCGTCTACAAGGAGGTGGTCAGGGTGGAGAAGGACCGGGCGCTGGAGGGCGAGCGGGCCCGGGTGTGGGAGA